TCATACCATGTGAGCAGCTCATGATTTTTAACCTCACATGCCTGGGATATAGGACAAGGATGTTATCTTCATTTACATACAGGAACTAAGGACCAGATGCTCAAAGGTATTTAAACACCTAACTCTCATGGAGATCAATGAGAGGTTAGGTACCCTTGAGGATCTTAAGTGACTTGCTTCAGGACATACAGAGAGGCTGTGGCAGGTCCCAGGTGAACATCCTAAATGCCAGGCGATCTTTTCTCTCCTTTCTGCTTCCTCCAATAGTGAGCTGCCATCTTCCTCCCTGCCCCTTTGTGCAGCCTCATCTCTGCTGGCATGACAAATAGTGGGTACTTGTACACCTGACAGTCGCCACGATATACACGTGACCAAAGTGTCATTTGTGTGGCTTAACAGTGTCACACATTACCCGTGTGCCAATTTGGGGGGCTTTAGATGAGTTTGAATCATTGAAAACTAAACTACATCCGGATATAGTTTAGTTTGCAACAATGCCCCCGGCCACAGGCATCTGCTGAAGGAAGAAGTGGCAAGGGGCCTGGCCTTTTTATGTTTTTTTGGCGGAGCCTGTTCACCTCTCCCACAGCCCGGGGGTTAGCTGCTGCTGGGCTGACCAGCCTCTGAGTTGCGGGGAGCGGGGGCCCAGTCCTTCCCTCTGTGGTGGTGGCGCTCCCCAGGGCCACCTGGGTGGGCTGCTAACCGGCTGGGTGCTGCCTCAGCTCAGAGGCAGCACCCGGCCTGATCCAGCTGTTCCCCAAGCCCGCCGGGCGCTGCACCCCAAGTGGGCTCAGAGAGCAGTTGTATCAGGCCAGGTGCTGCCTCCAAACTGGGGTAGCACCTGGTCTGCTTGCAGCTGACCCAGGTGGCTCTAGGGGGGGACTGTCACCAGAGGGAAGGACCAGGGCACCCTGCAGCTCAGGGGCCACTTGGCCCGCTGGCAGCTCGCCCCCCGGCTGCAGGCAGGCTTCAGCTCAAAAAAAAAACCAAAAACCAAGATCAGGCCCCTCACCGCAATGTGACAGAAAAATTGAAATGATGGGTTTCAATTAAAAACCCACCATTTCAATTTAGGGGGCATAGAATAAAACCCTGAGGACTAAATCCCTGTCACGTGTACAAGCGTCCGCATTCCCTTCCACAGCTCCTGCCCTCCGGGGAAGCGCTGTCTTATCCTGTATTTGCTCACAGCCTACAGAAAATCCCAGATAGGCCTTAGTTTTTCTCCCTGCCTTTTTAGCATTTCACCAGGACCCCTCTGCAGGCAGCCAGAGCCTGCCAGGTCCTTGGGGATCCACCACACAACAGATGCTGTGAAAGACGGTGTTGTTGTATTCAATACATTGCTAAGAGGAAGCACCAGGATAGGAGAACCAGCTCCTGAACCCTGCCCTGAAGGATCTGGCTCTTGTGGGCTGGACTCAGGCTCACTATGCTCTGGCTGTGGCTTGTGCTAATTGCTACATGCAGAAGGAAGGAGTCCTTGAAGGGACATGATCACCGTGCAGGTGCAGCATTCGAAAAGCAGGGCATGAATTCAAACTCATGAGCCCCATTGATCATCCTTGTGTCTGAGGTCGAAAGGTTTATTATGAACACCCTTAGCACTTCCTAGAATCTTTCATCTGCACGTAGCCAGGTGCTTTACAAGGATGTACATAATGAATCCCATTTTACAGACAAAAAAATGGAGGCCCACACAGGTTAAGACTGAACGTTTCTGACTCTGCATTTTTATTCGGAGGTTTCTAAACCCATGGTTAAATGCCCACCTAAATAGCCTGATCCCTATGCTCCCAGATCTCCCCAAAGTGAAGCTCCTTGTCTAGGTGCCCCAGTGTGGACTGAAGGCCAGGAATTTCACAAATCCTCGTCACCCACAATGGAGGGAGGCAGATTTCCAAAAGGGGTTGGCACACCAGGGCATCTCTTTAGGGAATCTGGCCCCAATTCTGGGCACTAAGAGCTTGAAAATGTGGCCCTTTCTGACTTATCCAAGGTCATGCCCATCAGTGGAAACAACAGGAATAACCCCCAAATCTCCTACTCTTTC